AGTAGGCAGAGAGGCGGGGGGGCGGGGGGAGTGGCGGAGGGGGAGGGGGCGGGGAGCAGGCTTCCCGCTGAGCAGAGAGCCTGATGCGGGGCTTGATCCCGGGACCCCGAGATCATGACCTGAGCCAAAAGCAGAGGCCATACTCCCTTTTTCTAAGTTCAATCTTTCTTTGTATCCAACTTCTTTTCCTTCCATCATACTATTCTTCATGTTCACATGATGGTTTTTTGGTTTTGTTTTATTTGGGGGGGAAGAGTGGAGGTGGGGTATTTATTTTACTTACAAAATGGGGTCTTATAACACTCATCAGTCAGTCACCATTTTTCTCACCTACCGATACCAGGATAGATCCTACAATTTTTTAAAAAAGATTTTATTTATTTATTTGACACAGAGAGAGACAGTGAGAGAGGGAACACAAGCAGTGGAAGTGCGAGAGGGAGAAGCAGGCTTCCTGCTGAGCAGAGAGCCCCATGCAGGGCTCGATGCCAGACACTGGGATCGTGACCTGAGCCGAAGGCAGACGCTTAACTACTGAGCCACCCAGGTGCCCCTAGCTCCTACAGTCTTTCTAATGCTTGCATAATGTTCTACTGTGTGATACGAGTGCATTACTTTTATTCATATTTGCCATTACTTTCCATCTTGGACCACCCCATCCGTGGTCGCCCTTTTTCCCTTTCACCCATCATGGTTTACCCATTCATCTTATGCCCAACAGTCCCCGGAACATAATGGTCATTCAGTAAGCATTTGTTGCTCCGCGCGTCTGACAGTGGTTTGCTGTGTGCATTCTTTGACAGGGAGAGACTGAAGGGACAGAAGAGGGCTCTAGTGAAGAAGTGATGGGGAGTAAGTAAGGTGGCGAGCTGAGGTGAGCCTCCGCTTCTCGTGCCTCTGGTGTGTCCTTGAAGTAGGGTGCGTTTCAAAGGGTCTGGGACGAGCTTGGGGACCGAGAGGACCGTGTTTGGAAGCTCCTGGAGGGACGCACCCAATTGGGGTGCGGTGGCCCGGGCTTGCTCCAGGCGGGCTTGGGTGGAGCTCGGAGGGGCGAGGCCGGCTGGGGGCGGGCCTGGGCGGAGCTCGGAGGGGCGAGGCCGGCTGGGGGCGGGCCTGGGCGGAGCTCGGAGGGGCGAGGCCGGTCGGGGGCGGGGCATGCGGAGCGCGCAGACTCGTAGCAGCCGGCGGACTTGTCGGGTGCTCCTGGTGGTCTGCTACGCTCCGGAGCCATGGGGCTCATGGCTCGGGAGCTAGTCTCCTCGCTTCTGGGGCTGTGGCTGCTGCTGTGCAGCTTGGGGTGCCCCGGTAGCGCCGAGCTCCGGGCCCCGCCGGATAAGATCGGTAGGTGACGCGGGGCGGCGCGGAAGGGGTGCGGGAGCGCGCAGTGCACCAGGCCTCGCGGCCGCGACGTCCACCAGGCCGCGCGCACCGAGTCCTCCGCGCAGGTCGCGGTCTTCTCAGTTCATGACTCAGGGTCGCTGTCGGTGCCCCAGGGAACGTGTCTTCCCGGGCTTGTCGATGTGCCCACTAGGGGAATGGGCGGTGGAGGGGGGTATTGAGGCGGGCGGCCGGCCGCCAAGCGTCTCTCATGCCCCTGTCTCGGAGGCCTGGGGGTCTGGGGAGGCCGAGGACCCTCTCCCCTCCTTCCCTTGCTGCACCTTTGGGAGGCCAGTCTTCTGGTTTGTTCTGGAGCGACCGGCCGCCTCGCTCTGCGGATGACAGGCGCACGCGGTCACAGCACACCGAGCAGTGCAAACAAGCTGACCCTGACTGCTTCCCTTGACAGGCTGGACTGGAACCCCATTCCCCCTTCCACTTTGCTGAGGTCGGCCTGCTCCCAGAGGCCCTAGCTTGCACAATTTCTCTACCTAGGACTACTACACAGCGGAAATAATCCACTCTCAAATTTCAGTCTTGGATTTCGCTGCGTTTGGTATTCTTTTTTATTCCCCTTCAAGCTTTGTTTGGTGGGGACATTAACCCATCTATATTAATGAGACAGAACAAATCTTGGCAAAAATGGCGGCCACCTGATTTAAAATGCGTGCTGGAAAGGCCCACCTCCTGTGTTCCCTTGTGTTAGGCACAAAGAAGGTGTGCAGAACCAGTGATGCCTGGACAAAGAGCTCTGAGAACCTTTGGGGATCTGCCCCCACCCCAAATCCAATGTCAATTTGTACATTAATGTACTACCACTTTTTTCGAGGGCAATGTCTGTCCAGATTCAGAGTTCTATCTTCAGCAACTGTCACTTGCCTCCAGGTCCCCAACTTGCCTAAATTGGTGATTATAGCCTTGACTAACATCTGTTACTCAAAAACAAAACCCACATAGCTGGGTAAGAAGGAAAGAAACTATTCCTTTTTTTTTTTTTTGTTCCCACCCATAGCAATTATTGGAGCTGGAATTGGTGGCACTTCAGCAGCCTACTATTTGCGGCAGAAATTTGGGAAAGATGTGAAGATTGACCTGTTTGAAAGAGGAGAGGTGGGAGGCCGTCTGGCCACAATGACTGTCCGAGGGCAAGAATATGAGGCAGGAGGTTCTGTCATCCATCCTTTAAATCTGCACATGAAGCGTTTTGTCAAGGACCTGGGTATGTCATTTGGTCTTAAAGCTAAGCAGATTTCTGTGTGACCGTCCATGGATATGTTTATCAGATAGGGGAACTGAAACTTTTCCGCCTTGTTGTCTTTTACAGAGAAGTTGGTAAAACGGTTTTCTTCACTTTGCTGCTAGCAGTTAGTACAAGCTTAGTTAGGAGCCACTTTCCTGTAATGGGACGCTAGTTATCTCTATCTTCAGTTATCTGGAATTACAGCCATGGGGTGGGGGTGGGGATGGTTGCTGTTCTTAGTTCTTAAACCTCTGGGTTGGTGTTGAAGAATCAAAGAATGGTTTGAGTTAGCAGGAACCTTGTGTACTCATTTCACAGAGGCTTTGAGTGTCTGGCTTAAAGTCACTCAGACAGGTATGGATGCAGGCCTATGCCTAGAACCTGGAACATTTGACTGCTTCCCTGCCGGCAGAGGAGCTGGACAGGTTGGGGGAGGTCTGGCAGGTCTCTGCAGGCCCTTTGCTCAGGGAGTATTGGGTAATTTTTGCTTCCTTCCAGTTATCTGAAATATCCAATTATGCAAAGTAGGATTTGCACAGGAATAGGGATGCCTCCTTTCTCTTTGCTCCTTCTAAATCCCCTGTGGATGGTTCCTGGGCCTCTTTCCTCCATGAGGGCAAATGTATGCCAGGAGCAGTTAATGCTGCAAATATTCATGTCTGATGTTTGTTTTTGTTTTTGTTTTTGTTTTTTAATTTTAAAAATATTTTATGTATTTATTTGAGAGAGAGAGAGAGAGAGAGCATGAGCAGGAGGAAGGGCAGAGGGAACAAGCAGATACCCCACTGAACGGGGAGCCTGATACAGGGCTTGAGTCCAGGACTCCAAGATCATGACCTGAGCTGAAGGTAGATATTTAACCAACTGAGCCATCCAGGTGCCCAACATTTGTCTTTAAATTGAACTCAGTTTGTATTCTGACATTTTCCTTTGACTTTTTAGTTTTTTTCCAACTAAAAATGGCCAGTCTGATTTTGATGTATCTGTATGACCACCTGACCCATCTTTTAGAGATCTGCTTTAGGACAGTGTAGTGAACGAACAGTGTATTACACACTGTTCTGAAGATAGAGCTCCTTTAATTCCTGAGAACTGGGGAATCCTCGAATTCACTCACTTCAGAGTGTCCCCTAGCTTCAGATGACCTTTCATTTGATCAACATAGAAACCCTGAGTTTAGCTAACCTTTTCTCTGTTTTTGCAGGTCTTTCTACTATTCAGAGCTCTGGTGGCCTAATGGGGGTGTATAATGGAGAGACTCTGGTATTTGAGGAGAGCAGCTGGTTTATAATTAACATGTTTAAACTAATTTGGCACTATGGATTTCAGTCCCTCCGAATGCACATGTGGGTAGAGGATATATTGGACAAGTTTATGAGGTAATTTTTTCCCCTTCTGTTTACCCTAAGACCTTTTCGTTAGATGATCTATAGGAATTTTATTTCTTGAAACAGTTCTCTACCTAAGTGTAAGACCTATTGGTCAGACTGTTAGGTAAGTGGTTTGTGTAAAATATGCAGACTGTTTATCCACTTGAATACTGAAAGAGTAGTTAATTTTTGCTTTTGAAAACATATTTTGCAAATGCTCATTTAATTTTGCCATACACACTTAAATGCTCTACAGATGTTAACTCCTTGAATTCTTATGACAGCTCTCTCAGGTACTGTTACTAGCTTCGTGCAGATGTGGAAGGTGGAGGCACAGAGGTTTCAAGTGCGCAAGAACACCCCACCCAGTAAGTGGTGGAGTTGGAGTTCCCACCCAGGCATTCTGGCTCCAGAGTTCTCGCTCGCTCTCTTTTTAAATATTTTATTTATTTATTTGAGATAGTGAGAGAAAGAGCATGAGCAGAAGGAGAGGGAAAAGCAGGTTCCCTGCTGAGCAGGGAGCCTGACAAGGGGCTTAAACCCAGGACCCTGGGATCATGACCTGAGCCGAAGGCAAATGCTTAACCTTTGGAGCCACCAAGGTGTACCCCCCACCCCCGAATTTAAATTGAGATACTGAATTCCAGCACTGTTCCAGTGTAGTGAGAATAAAGGTGCCACTTTTTCTTTATGTTTTTCTGTATTTTCAGATATTTCTAGGTATATTGCTTTGGTAATTAGGAAGGATGATATAAAATAATCAGTCTAACTTTAAAAGATACAGCCCCCCCTTTTTTAAAGGATTTTATTTATTTATTTATTTAAAGATTTAATTTATTTATTTGACAGAGAGATCACAAGTAGGCAGAGAGGCAGGCAGAGAGAGAGGAAGGGAAGCAGGCTCCCCGCTGTGCAGAGAGCCCGATTCGGGGGCGGGGCATGCGGAGCGCGCAGACTCGTAGCAGCCGGCGGACTTGTCGGGTGCTCCTGGTGGTCTGCTACGCTCCGGAGCCATGGGGCTCATGGCTCGGGAGCTAGTCTCCTCGCTTCTGGGGCTGTGGCTGCTGCTGTGCAGCTTGGGGTGCCCCGGTAGCGCCGAGCTCCGGGCCCCGCCGGATAAGATCGGTAGGTGACGCGGGGCGGCGCGGAAGGGGTGCGGGAGCGCGCAGTGCACCAGGCCTCGCGGCCGCGACGTCCACCAGGCCGCGCGCACCGAGTCCTCCGCGCAGGTCGCGGTCTTCTCAGTTCATGACTCAGGGTCGCTGTCGGTGCCCCAGGGAACGTGTCTTCCCGGGCTTGTCGATGTGCCCACTAGGGGAATGGGCGGTGGAGGGGGGTATTGAGGCGGGCGGCCGGCCGCCAAGCGTCTCTCATGCCCCTGTCTCGGAGGCCTGGGGGTCTGGGGAGGCCGAGGACCCTCTCCCCTCCTTCCCTTGCTGCACCTTTGGGAGGCCAGTCTTCTGGTTTGTTCTGGAGCGACCGGCCGCCTCGCTCTGCGGATGACAGGCGCACGCGGTCACAGCACACCGAGCAGTGCAAACAAGCTGACCCTGACTGCTTCCCTTGACAGGCTGGACTGGAACCCCATTCCCCCTTCCACTTTGCTGAGGTCGGCCTGCTCCCAGAGGCCCTAGCTTGCACAATTTCTCTACCTAGGACTACTACACAGCGGAAATAATCCACTCTCAAATTTCAGTCTTGGATTTCGCTGCGTTTGGTATTCTTTTTTATTCCCCTTCAAGCTTTGTTTGGTGGGGACATTAACCCATCTATATTAATGAGACAGAACAAATCTTGGCAAAAATGGCGGCCACCTGATTTAAAATGCGTGCTGGAAAGGCCCACCTCCTGTGTTCCCTTGTGTTAGGCACAAAGAAGGTGTGCAGAACCAGTGATGCCTGGACAAAGAGCTCTGAGAACCTTTGGGGATCTGCCCCCACCCCAAATCCAATGTCAATTTGTACATTAATGTACTACCACTTTTTTCGAGGGCAATGTCTGTCCAGATTCAGAGTTCTATCTTCAGCAACTGTCACTTGCCTCCAGGTCCCCAACTTGCCTAAATTGGTGATTATAGCCTTGACTAACATCTGTTACTCAAAAACAAAACCCACATAGCTGGGTAAGAAGGAAAGAAACTATTCCTTTTTTTTTTTTTTGTTCCCACCCATAGCAATTATTGGAGCTGGAATTGGTGGCACTTCAGCAGCCTACTATTTGCGGCAGAAATTTGGGAAAGATGTGAAGATTGACCTGTTTGAAAGAGGAGAGGTGGGAGGCCGTCTGGCCACAATGACTGTCCGAGGGCAAGAATATGAGGCAGGAGGTTCTGTCATCCATCCTTTAAATCTGCACATGAAGCGTTTTGTCAAGGACCTGGGTATGTCATTTGGTCTTAAAGCTAAGCAGATTTCTGTGTGACCGTCCATGGATATGTTTATCAGATAGGGGAACTGAAACTTTTCCGCCTTGTTGTCTTTTACAGAGAAGTTGGTAAAACGGTTTTCTTCACTTTGCTGCTAGCAGTTAGTACAAGCTTAGTTAGGAGCCACTTTCCTGTAATGGGACGCTAGTTATCTCTATCTTCAGTTATCTGGAATTACAGCCAGGGGGGGGGGGGGGGGATGGTTGCTGTTCTTAGTTCTTAAACCTCTGGGTTGGTGTTGAAGAATCAAAGAATGGTTTGAGTTAGCAGGAACCTTGTGTACTCATTTCACAGAGGCTTTGAGTGTCTGGCTTAAAGTCACTCAGACAGGTATGGATGCAGGCCTATGCCTAGAACCTGGAACATTTGACTGCTTCCCTGCCGGCAGAGGAGCTGGACAGGTTGGGGGAGGTCTGGCAGGTCTCTGCAGGCCCTTTGCTCAGGGAGTATTGGGTAATTTTTGCTTCCTTCCAGTTATCTGAAATATCCAATTATGCAAAGTAGGATTTGCACAGGAATAGGGATGCCTCCTTTCTCTTTGCTCCTTCTAAATCCCCTGTGGATGGTTCCTGGGCCTCTTTCCTCCATGAGGGCAAATGTATGCCAGGAGCAGTTAATGCTGCAAATATTCATGTCTGATGTTTGTTTTTGTTTTTGTTTTTGTTTTTTAATTTTAAAAATATTTTATGTATTTATTTGAGAGAGAGAGAGAGAGAGAGCATGAGCAGGAGGAAGGGCAGAGGGAACAAGCAGATACCCCACTGAACGGGGAGCCTGATACAGGGCTTGAGTCCAGGACTCCAAGATCATGACCTGAGCTGAAGGTAGATATTTAACCAACTGAGCCATCCAGGTGCCCAACATTTGTCTTTAAATTGAACTCAGTTTGTATTCTGACATTTTCCTTTGACTTTTTAGTTTTTTTCCAACTAAAAATGGCCAGTCTGATTTTGATGTATCTGTATGACCACCTGACCCATCTTTTAGAGATCTGCTTTAGGACAGTGTAGTGAACGAACAGTGTATTACACACTGTTCTGAAGATAGAGCTCCTTTAATTCCTGAGAACTGGGGAATCCTCGAATTCACTCACTTCAGAGTGTCCCCTAGCTTCAGATGACCTTTCATTTGATCAACATAGAAACCCTGAGTTTAGCTAACCTTTTCTCTGTTTTTGCAGGTCTTTCTACTATTCAGAGCTCTGGTGGCCTAATGGGGGTGTATAATGGAGAGACTCTGGTATTTGAGGAGAGCAGCTGGTTTATAATTAACATGTTTAAACTAATTTGGCACTATGGATTTCAGTCCCTCCGAATGCACATGTGGGTAGAGGATATATTGGACAAGTTTATGAGGTAATTTTTTCCCCTTCTGTTTACCCTAAGACCTTTTCGTTAGATGATCTATAGGAATTTTATTTCTTGAAACAGTTCTCTACCTAAGTGTAAGACCTATTGGTCAGACTGTTAGGTAAGTGGTTTGTGTAAAATATGCAGACTGTTTATCCACTTGAATACTGAAAGAGTAGTTAATTTTTGCTTTTGAAAACATATTTTGCAAATGCTCATTTAATTTTGCCATACACACTTAAATGCTCTACAGATGTTAACTCCTTGAATTCTTATGACAGCTCTCTCAGGTACTGTTACTAGCTTCGTGCAGATGTGGAAGGTGGAGGCACAGAGGTTTCAAGTGCGCAAGAACACCCCACCCAGTAAGTGGTGGAGTTGGAGTTCCCACCCAGGCATTCTGGCTCCAGAGTTCTCGCTCGCTCTCTTTTTAAATATTTTATTTATTTATTTGAGATAGTGAGAGAAAGAGCATGAGCAGAAGGAGAGGGAAAAGCAGGTTCCCTGCTGAGCAGGGAGCCTGACAAGGGGCTTAAACCCAGGACCCTGGGATCATGACCTGAGCCGAAGGCAAATGCTTAACCTTTGGAGCCACCAAGGTGTACCCCCCACCCCCGAATTTAAATTGAGATACTGAATTCCAGCACTGTTCCAGTGTAGTGAGAATAAAGGTGCCACTTTTTCTTTATGTTTTTCTGTATTTTCAGATATTTCTAGGTATATTGCTTTGGTAATTAGGAAGGATGATATAAAATAATCAGTCTAACTTTAAAAGATACAGCCCCCCCTTTTTTAAAGGATTTTATTTATTTATTTATTTAAAGATTTAATTTATTTATTTGACAGAGAGATCACAAGTAGGCAGAGAGGCAGGCAGAGAGAGAGGAAGGGAAGCAGGCTCCCCGCTGAGCAGAGAGCCTGATGTGGGGCTCAATCCCAGGACCCCGGGATCATGACCTGAGCCGAAGGCAGAGGCTTAACCCACTGAGCCACCCAGGTGCCCCCCCCGCCCTTTTTTTAAGGCTGTTGGCATGTGCTAATTTTTATGCTGGTTTACAATTTTAGATGCTGGAGAAATTTAACTTGTAAGTGCTAATGATATTTCATTACTGTGCATTTCAGTGTAGTAAAATAATTGTTAAAAAGGTAAAATTACATGTCATATGTGACCCAAGTGTTGACAAGGACAGATATAAGGATTGAGTAGGATAAATATACTATAGTTTTTGTAACTGATGGTAGTTTGGGATATCTTTTTCTCTCTTTTTTAAAACATTTTATTTATTTATTTGACAGAGAGTACAAAAGAGCAAGCACAAGCAGGGGGAGCAGCAGAGGGAGAGGGAGAAACAGCTCTCTGCTGTGTGAGGGTCCCGATGTGGGGCTCCATCCCAGGAACCTGGGATCGTGACCCAAGCCCCAGGCAGACACTTAACCGACTGAGCCATCCAGGCGCCCCTGGGATTTCCTTTTTATTTTTTATTTATTAATTAATTTTTAAATTATTTATTTATTTGACAGAGATCACAAGTAGGCAGAGAGGCAGGCAGAGATGGAGGAGGAAGCAGGCTCCCCGCTGAGCAGAGATCCTGATGGGGGGCTCGATCCCAGGACCCTGGGCTCATGACCTGAACTGAAGGCAGAGGCTTAACCCACTGAGCCACCTAGGCGCTCCTCTCTTTTTAAACATCGTTGTTATGTTAGTTCCTCAAACACTTTTCCAGTGGGTACATTAAGGTCAGCTACAGTGCAGATTGTTTTCTTTTTTTTTTTTTTTTTTTTTTTTGAGATTTTATTTTTTTGACAGAGACAGAAAAAGATCACAAGTAGGCAGAGAGAGAGGGGGAAGCAGGCTCCCTGCTGAGCAGAGAGCCTGATGCAGGGCTCTGATCACAGGACCTTGAGATCATGACCTGAGCCGAAGGCAGAAACTTAACCCACTAAGCCACCCAGGCTCCCCAGTGCAGATTATTTTAAAGTAGTCATTTATTCATTTACCAAATATTGACTACTTATTATGTGCCAGGCACTATTCTGGGTCCTGAGGATATAGAATCTAGAACATGTCCCTGTCCTCAAAGAATATACATTCTAGTAGAGAAACAAGCAGTAAACCAATAACTAAGAAAACATAAAGAATTTGTGTAGAGAGAATCAGTCACTTTGTAAGGAAGGAAGGTGGCATGTTGCTGCATGCTCAGCAGGAAAGTCAAGTTCAGATGGCATCAGATACAGCCCTGCCTGCAAGTTTTCTTACCAGTGGTTCGCTTGGCATGTAGAGAACTGCCCTGTGAGAAATTAAGAAATCACTTTTAAAGTGAATTCTGGATATTACAGAACTGTGAAAAAGATACAGTGATGGGATACATAGATTATACCTTTTTTTGTTGTTGTTGTTTAAGTAAACTCTGTGCCCAATGTGGGGCTTGAACTCATGACCCCAGAGATAAGAGTCTCATGCTCTATGGATTGAGCCAATCAGGTGCCCCAGGATTATACTATTTTTGATTTTTTAAAAAAAGATTTTATTTATTTGAGAGGGAGAGAGAGAAGGAGAAAGCATGAGAGGGGAGAGATCAGAGGGAGAAGCAGACTCCCTGTCGAGGAGGGAGCCCAATTTGGGACTCGATCCTGGGACTCCAGGATCATGACCTGAGCTGAAGGCAGTCAGTTGCTTAACCAACTGAGCCACCCAGATGCCCACTATTTTTGATTTTAGAGTTTATTTTTTTTAGTAATCTCTGGACCCAATGTGGGGCTTGAACTCACAATCCTGAGATCATGAGTTGAATGTTTTTCTTTCTTTCTTTTTTTTTTTAAAGATTTTATTTATTTATTTGACAGAGACAGACACACGGCGAGAGAGGGAGCACAAGCAGGGGGAGTGGGAGAGGGAGAAGCAGGCTTCCCACCGAGCAGGGAGCCCCATGCAGGGCTCAATCCCAGGACCCTGAGATTTGACCTGAGCCAAAGGCAGATGCTTAACAACTGAGCCACCCAGATGCCCCAGTCGAATGCTTTTCTGACTGAGTCAGCCAGGCAGGCACCCTATTTTGATTTTAGAAAACATTTCCCCTACTTTATGGAATTACTGCCTCCCTCTGGTCTGTCTTTGATATTTGATTATACAGCACAGATCCTTACGGTGTTCAAAGGGCCATGCACCCTACATTTCTGTTTCTTTCATTAAGTCAGGAACATAAAAATTTTATTTTGATAATTTTATCATGTCCCTTGAGAAAGTTGGAGAGAAGGCTGGTATTGAGCCAGCATGTGCCAATTGTTAAAGTAGTTAAATACTGCTGGACTAGTAGTGACATAGCTATTGTCCTGTGTGTTCCCACTCCTCCCTTTCTGCCTCCTCTCCAAACCCCTTACACCCGCCACCATCAGGGAATCTTGACTCAGTTCTAGTGCTGTCATCAGTCTACTTTCTGTTCAATGCTGTACCAGTTATTAAATAAATAAATGACCCTTGAATAATATGGGGGGGGTTTGGGGTGCCAATAGTTGAAAATCTGTGTATAACTTTGACTTCCCCCAAACCTAACTGCTAATAGCCTGCTGTTGACAGGAAGACTTACTAAGAACATAAACATTTAATACATATTTTGTATATTATGTCTAATTCTTATGATAAAGTAAGCTGGAGAATATGTATATATGGAAAAATTGTAAGGAAGAGAAAATATAGTTGTGGTACTCCACTGTATGTATCTGAAAAAAAAACAAAAAAACCAAACCCAAGGATAAATTTACCTGTGCAGTTTGAACCTGTGTTATTCAAGGGTCAACTGTATTTGTAATATCACCGCTTGTTGGAGATAGTCTGGATTATTGCAAAAATCAGAATTGAGAACTATAGAGGTTGCTAAAGAGTAATCTGGAACAACAGATGCCCTGCATTTCAGTGAAGCAGTAGTTCTCAACCCTGGCTGCACATTGGAATCATGTGGGGATCTTTTTTTTTTTTTTTTAAGATTTTATTTATTTGCGAGAGAGAGAGAGAGAGGGAGAGGGAAAGGGAGAGAGAGGAAGGGAGAACGTGCGCACACGCGTGAGCACAAGCAGGGGGAGTGGTAGAGGGAGAAGCAGGGCCCCCCCATGCTGAGCAGGACCCTGATATCATGACCTGAGCACTGAAGGCAGACGCTTAACTAACTGAGGTGCCCATGGGCATTGGTATTTTTAAAAGTACCTCAAGTGAATCTTACCTACAAAGTTGCAAATATTAGGTTAAAATGTGCAATTGGATAATATTCTGGAGTTTTTTCTTTCTCTAAATAGTATAGAAACCTAAAGCCCTTGTTAAGTTTTTTCTCCCTGTTTTCAATGTATATGACAAATCCAGTTGGGTCCCCTTCTGGAAAAACTTTTGGGGGATTTGCTGACCAGCTTTGGAGTACATTGTCATTTTTGTGCTTCCATTTCAGAGGGCACAGTGTGAGTGAAGGCCCATGTGACACCTGAAAGAGGGTGATAGGCAACACCCCACACCCATGCGAGTATGCATTCATTTTTCTTGTTGGTGGAGCTGCTTTGGTGGAGCTGTGGAAATCCTGTAGCCCGTGCCGTCCATACTTTCCAGTATGGACATACCTTCCAGGTTAATTTCCAGTTCTGAGCATTTATTTATGCACTTCTTCTGGTTGGATGCTATTCCTTACTTCAGAGTCTGATCTCTTCTCAGCCTTTTCCAGAAAAGCCTTCCCTTAATCTCTAGTTGCCATTCATTTCTCTTTTCAAACATCCCATGAGTGTTATATGGAGCACACCACCCACACACTCGTGTTGTTCTGTCTTGGGTACAGTGATTAGAATCTGGTAGATATTCACTCAGATGTCTGTTGAATTGAATCATCTGGTTCAGGGATGGCTTCCTGTTAGAATATCTTGGTTTCTGGGCTAGGTTAAAGCTCATTCTTGGCTCTAGCATTTAGTATGTTTCTGAGGACATATTAGATCATTAACATTTCTTAATCTGAGACTGATAGGATTTGCAGTGA